CGAAATCTCCCCCCTCTCTCCCACTCCAGAGGCGACTCTGTTCTCCAGCTGCTTCCCCTGCACCAAGTTAGACTCCCTCCCACCCTCCATATCTCCCCCCGCCCCATAAAATATTGGGGGCAGCGCTTCCAAATATCTTATGGGGGAGGAAGAAGACCCCTTGGGCCCCTATGCGTTGGCTCCTATACTTTCATGATCCCGACTCAGCCAGGGGTGGCAGTTCAGGGTTCTGGGGTTCATCCTGCAATGCAAACCTTGTTTGAGGAAGAGGACCCCCCCTTGCAGCCGATTGCAGATCGCCTCTCCTGATTCCCAGAGGGAAAGGGGGGAGCCCTTCCTTGCTTTCACCCCCCTCTCCTCCCCCCCTTTGTAGATTCAGGGGCAGGAAAAGCAAATTCTTCTCCCTCCCTGCACCCCAAATCACCCCCATCCGAAAAGTTGCACCTTTCCCCTCCTCCTTTGCAGGCCTCCTTCTCTTCCGGGGGTGTGCATGGAGACCCCACCCCCTCCAACATTGCCTCTACCCCCACCCCACCCTGCTCCATCACTTCCTGCCTCTGTAGGAGTTCATTGACTGAGAAAGGTAGCTATTTAAATATTTTCCTTGTGAACAGACCATGTTTTATTTGTAGCTTTTATTTAGAAATCCACTTCAAAGCACGAGCACTTCTTTGCTTTCTTTTCTTCGCTTCTCACTTCCCTATGTGGCCCCCGAGTCTCATGCCCTGGCCCCCCATTGGAATATCATGTTCCCCTGTAACCCCCTTGGAATATCCATATGCGCCCCCCCTTTAGAAACGCTGGTCTACTCCATTGAATTGGGTGGGCCTGACTTCTGAGTAAAAAACCCTGTTCAATCCTAAAGGTTGCCATGGACCCCCACTTTTGATATTTTGCCTGTCTCTTCCATAGTTTCTGTTGTGTGAATGGTGCTACGGACCCCCGGGGGGGGGGAAGGTTCCCTGGAGTAGGCAGACTACCTATTGGGAAAAGCTGCTTTAGCGCTCTGATTTCAGGAGCTGGACCGAACCTTTCCCCACATTGTACACCCCCATATAGTTTCTCCCCATGGGTGTCATTTTGGGGGAAATTAGCAATGATCTTACAGTGAAGCATTTTGCACACTCTTGTCACACGCCTGCTTGATTCAAGATGCTCCCACACTCCCCTGTGCCACCATCCCAGGTCGTGCAAAACATGCAGAGAGGAGTTGGGTCTTCCCTGGTTCTCCCACTAAGATAAAGGTAAAGGTAAAGGGACCCCTGACTGTTAGGTCCAGTCGTGGCCGACTCTGGGGTTGCGGCGCTCATCTCGCTTTATTGGCCGAGGGAGCCGGCATACAGCTTCTGGGTCATGTGACCAGCATGACTAAGCCGCTTCTGGCGAACCAGAGCAGCGCACGGAAACGCCGTTTACCTTCCCGCCAGAGCAGTACCTATTTATCTACTTGCACTTTGACATGCTTTCAAACTGCCAAGTCAGCAGGAGCAGGGACCAAGCAATGAGAGCTCACCCCGTTGTGGGGATTCGAACTACCGACCTTACGATCGGCAAGCCCTTATGATCGGTTTAACCAACAGCGCCACCCACATCCCACTAAACACCCCCTTTATTCCTGCTGCCACCAGAGATAATGTCTTAGCTGAACACTTAGCCCTCCATGTAGCCAAGAATGACAAGGTGTTGTTATTTACTTTACTTAAATTTCATTTCTATTCATTACCATATAGATATAAGTGATGTTACTATCCTAATGCATACATGGCTACGAATACCCCACTACATTTAGTATGAATTCATTTCAAATATCAATATATATGTCCAAACAGAGTCTGCGTCTATAGGCAATCCATTCATGTGCTGCATCTTCTATCGTGTTGTCATGTTTTTATTCTTCCAGTTAGTTCATCAGTTATCAGCCTCTTGGCAACCATTAGGGTGCAAAGAATCCATTCTTCTTGTCCTGTTGTCAGTGGCACGCATATCTATGGCATGAAAAGAAGAAAATCCACAAGGGATTCGAAAGTCACATCTTTAGAGGTCCTTTGATAGAAGTATGGGAGAGGAACAGATATTTATTAGTGCCACACTGGCTATCCCCATTAGAAGCTATGAGTGTTAAAAAGCTTAATATGAGAGGCGATTGGATTACCTATGAACAACTGTTAACTAAAGAAGGGGGGAAATGGAAAATGAAACCGTATGACCAGGTTAAAGAAAAGGTATTTGATTGGTTACATTATTTCCAAATAAATGAAACGTTTAGGAAAGATATTAAAGATAGAGGATATGCCGATAAGGATTCTAAATTCCAGACTGAAATAATAAATAATGACTGTAAAATTCTATCTAAAATGTACAACCTGCTGTTAGAGTGGAACCTGATAGACGAGGAAGTAAAGTCGGTGATGATACACTGCGCCAGGGACATCGGCCATAATATATATTATGAAGAGTGGGAGAAGTTATGGAAAAAAAAACCTTAAATTCACAGCATGTGTAACGTTGAAGGAGAACTTGATGAAGATGTTTTATCGATGGTATATAACCCCTGCAAAATTAGCAAAAATGTATAAAACCTGTAACAAATGCTGGAAATGCAGGGAAAAAGAGGGATCCTTCTACCACATGTGGTGGGATCGCAAAAAGGTAAGGGGTTTTTGGGAAAGTGTTTATATTGAAATGAAGAGAATTTTAAGATATACTTTTGAAAAAACCCCCAAGGCCTTCCTGTTAGGATTATCAGGAAGGGAGATAAAGAACAACGACTGCAAATTTTTCCAATATGCAACAACTGCAGCAAGAGTCCTACTAGCCCAAAATTGGAAACAACAGAAAATACCGACAATTGAGGAATGGAGAGCGAAATTGCTAGATTATGCGGAGCTGGACAGACTGATGGGGAAAATCAGATATTTAAGAGACCAAAGGTTCATTGATGACTGGGGGAAATTCGCGGAGTATCTGGATAATATAAGTGAGGGACAGATAACGCTAGTGGGGTTTAAAAGAGCTCTGTGAAGAAAGTAAGAATATTGTCTAAAGAGAAATGATAGAAAGGAGTTAAACAATGTCAATAGATAGTAGGATATGCGAATACTTCTTTTGGAATGAGTACGGGGGATTTGTGGAGAGGCTGAAGGAAGTCGTAAAAAAAAAAAAAGGAATCTGTGATAACAAGAAGTAGACTGTTTCATATATGGAAAATGTCCTGTTGTCAACTTCCATTTTCATTTCTTGGGGATTGTTCAGCTGTGATTCTGAAATCATAGGCTTTGACACGTCTGCTGTTCTCAGAAAAGGATTGGACTGCATGCTGGTGACTTTTCCTCGATCTTTTAGTTTCATTTTACTTTTAACCACTTTTAGGGTTTTGCAATCAAGCAGTGATTGAATTTATGAAATACATAAACTAACTAAATATAATTCTGTTATTCTATCTGCCTTGCATCCAAGAAAAAGGTCCGAGGTTGACCCCCCCCCCCGGCATCTGGGAGAAACCCTTGTTATGAAATCCCAGGTTGCTGCTGCCAGTCAGTGAAGACATTCCTGGCCTTTATTTGCAAAAGCATTTATTTGCAAATAATCCTGGCTTTTATTTGCAAAAGCGAATAAATAAGAGTCCCACCCAGCTGCCTACAGCCAGGAGAGCCCCCCAACCCCAGCTGGCTGGCTCATGGGACATGGATGAAATTCTCAAAGTGGCCAAGGAAGAATTCAGAGCCTGGAAGACGTGCTGGAGAGAAAGAGGTGGGCTGTGAACAGAGCATGCAAAGCTCTGAAATGCTCAACCCCCAACACCACTTTCTGCTCACGGCCTAGGAGGAAGGAGTTGAACCACTGCATTACCCTGCCCCTAACTCCCAACCCTCCTAGACTGTCCATGAGGATATGTTAATATTTACAATGTCATTATATTGGGAATGTATTTCACAAAGCAGAGGTGGCATTGGGGAAATGAGGTGGCGCTTTCTTGGTTAATTCATTATTTTTTTAAAATGATATTTATTAGAAGTTTCAAAGATTACAGAAAAAAGCAAAAAAGAAAACAGCAAAAATTTAACAAAACATACATAACAATATAGCAAAAAGGAAAAAATATAACACAAAAAAACCAATACACCAATAGCAATAAAAAACAAACAAACAAACAACAACACACATCTTATATTCCATATCTCCATCCTTCATTTACTTGTTTCATCAACCTCCTCACACCTCCCTTTTTGTATTCTAGTTTAGTTATTTGTTTCAGCAAATTCTTTCCATCTTTCTCAATTTTTATTGGGTAATTTGTCTTAACAGTCTAACCTATTAGTTAACTCAGCAAATCCTTTCCATCTTTCACTATATTCTGTCATTCAATTTACCTTAATTTATTTTAACCTTATCTTACTATAAAATACCTTAAAGCTTAAAACTTAATATTTATTTATACATAATTCCTTATATCATTTCTACTAAAGCCAAATATTTTCATTCCAACATTTTTCCTAATGCTCCTTAATTTTACATTAATTCCCAAAATATTGTTTTTTTAAAAAAAATTCTTCCAATCTTCCTCCAGCGTCTCTTCTTCCTGGTCTCGGGTTATGTCAATCCTTACTGTCCATTATCTAGTCCATCAACCTGGTAATCTTATGTCCGAGGCCCTTAAGTCTTTTCCATGTCCCTTCTGCAGATCTTCTTCTTGTTTGTACTTACACTTTACCTCATCTTTTGTTGATCTCTTTCTTAATTTCTTTCCTTTCTCATTGAGGAGTAGGTCTTGGGGATGTTCCAACTCGCAAGTATCTCCGTCTCTCCTCAGCAGAGGAGAGTCAACAGTAAAGCCCAGAAAATATTTAAAAACATATTTCAAAGTCCCTCCAAACTTAAGGGCCCCCACAACTCCAGACTCCCCCCCAGCCCACTCCAGATTCAACCTTCAAGAACAACGGCTTATACTCCTGTAGGGCCTCGGGCTTCTCCATTTGTATTACTTGAGGTCCAGCAGCGGCCTCCTCCATTATCTTCTGCGTTTGCACTTGCTCTATCAGAACAGGTTCTTGAGTTGGCTCCTGGATGGTTTCTGTATAAATATTCACTGTTTGTCCAAAATTTTTGACTGCAACAGTCATCAAATCCATCTTCTCATGCAACTGCTCCAACAAAGCACTTGTCTTGCAAAAAGCAAGCACCAAAACTTCTTCCGAACACATCTTTGTTCAAGGTCACAGTCTGGTCCCACGATCCTTATCACCACAGCTGTAAAGTCCCCAGATCGACTCCAGCAGGAATTTAACAAGCTCCCTCTAGAGGAGACAATTTCTATTTGTATCCATCTTTTGAAAGCAGATCCAACAAAAGAAAGTTACTTTCATTTTACGGGTTTTTTGTTTCTTTTAAATGCAAAATGCAAAATTGGAGACAATTTGTTTCTCTTCTTTAACTATCTGTCAACGGATGTTACTTTCACAGTCAATGAACTTCACCAAAAATCTCTGTCTCTGACACCCCGTTCCCAGGTTTGAGACGGTGGAAATTTATCTTTCTTTACTCTCTCTCCTGCAGGCTTACACAGTCAAAAATCCCCCTCTTTACTCCTACTTCCAAGAGGGGTTTAGATGGTTAAAACAGGAGGAATTTTAAATCTTTATGTAGAACTTTCCAGACTTTAGCTTGCACAATTTTTGCTTCAGGCTATTTACAAAAACGGAAGGAGGACTTCCTGTTTTAGACCTTCCCGTTTGAGTGCCAAATTAAAGCGTTTCTAAGCCCAATTTTCCGTTCTACTCACGGGTACTTGCTTAGAGTCCAATTCTCCACAGGAAAAAGTCAGTGCTCTCCGGCAACGGCTGTGCGGCTTCACTCCGTAAAAATAGCGGTCGATTCAAAACACCGCACCGCTTCGGATCCCCGAAAATGGGTTTCCTTGCGTGTAGGGGGGGGGTGCTCCTGGTGTCAGCCGAATCCCACGTTCCCAGGCTTCTTCCGCCTGGGATTTTTAAGGGGTCTTAGCCGCGGTGGCAAGACCCGATTTTCGCGGAGCAGATTCCTCTGGATCAGAGGAATTCCGCCATGGCCGATGGCGCTAAACCGGAAGTCACTTTCTTGGTTAATTCAGATCACTCTATCTTGACTTCTGAGAGGTCAAGCCGAGAGGTGAGAGGTGTGGGGACTTTGTGCGCACGATGACTGGAGGAGTTTGTAAATACTTGTGGTTCAACGGTTGCCAACCTGACCAGTAAAGCTTTACTCTCAATGAATTGGGTAAGGTATATATTTTTATCACAAATCGGTAACCGGATACCGTGGTCAATGGCATAAAAAGAAACTGAGAGATCCAGCAGAACCAGGAAACAGCTTTTACCTTTGTCCCTCACCTGCCAGAGATAATCAACCAGTGCCAACAAGGCGGTCTCAGTCTGATGGCAGGGCCTGACACTCAACTGGAAGAAATGCAGTCCAAATGGTCCATATCCTCCAGATATGCCTGGATTTATTCTGCAACCAAACATACATTTAAATTGTTTTTCCCCTGTGAGTTTGCTGATGTCTTCTAAGCGTTCCACTTCTAGTGAAGCTTGCCCCACAATCCATGCATTTAAAAGGTTTCTCCCTTGTGTGAATTTGTAGATGTACATTAAGGCTCGAACTATGAACGAAGCATTTTCCACACTGCATGCATTTATATGGTTTCTGCCCTGTGTGAATTCGTTGATGTCTTCCAAGCGTTCCACGTCTAGTGAAGCTTCTCCCACAATCCATGCATTTAAATGGTTTCTGCCCTGTGTGAGTTCGTTGATGGTTTTTAAGGTGTCCACTCTGAGAGAAGCTCTTTCCACACTCTATGCATTTAAATGGTTTCTGCCCTGTGTGAGTCCGTTGATGCTTTTTAAGGATTCCACTCTCTGTGAAGCTCTTTCCCACACTCCATGCATTTAAAAGGTCTTGCCCCTGTGTGAGTTCGTTGATGGTTTTTAAGGTATCCACTCTGACTGAAGCTCTTTCCACACTCCATGGATTTAAATGGTTTTTCCCCTGTGTGACTTCGCTGATGTCTTTTAAGCTGTCCACTCTGAGAGAAGCTCTTTCCGCACTCCATACATCTGAATGCACTCTATGCATTTAAATGGTTTTTCCCCTGTGTGAGTCCGTTGATGCTTTTTAAGGATTCCACTCTCTGTGAAGCTCTTTCCACACTCCATGCATTTAAAAGGTCTTGCCCCTGTGTGAGTTCGTTGATGGTTTTTAAGGTATCCACTCTGACTGAAGCTCTTTCCACACTCCATGGATTTAAATGGTTTTTCCCCTGTGTGACTTCGCTGATGTCTTTTAAGCTGTCCACTCTGAGAGAAGCTCTTTCCGCACTCCATACATCTGAATGGTTTCTCACCCGTGTGAGTTTGATGATGTGCATTAAGTTGATTACTCAAAAGGAAGCTCTTTCCACACTCCATGCATTTAAATGGTTTCTCCCCCGTGTGAATTCGCATATGTATATACAGGCTTCCACTCTGTGTGAAGCATTTTCCACACTCAAAACATTTATATGGTTTCTCCCCTGTATGAGTATATTGATGCCTTCTTAGCGATTGTCCATGACGGAAGCATGTTCCACACTCCATGCATTTAAATGGTTTTTCCCCTGTGTGAGTTCCTTGATGTTTTGTAGGAGTTCCACTCCCACAGATGTCCTTGCCACAATCCATACCTTTAAGTGGTATCTCCATTGTTTCAGTTCATTGATGTGAACTAAGTGTGTTCACTGACTGAATCACATTGTTTATTCCATATATTGAAATGGTTTATTCGTGATTCCTAATGAAAGTACAGATTGCTCTGACTGTCCTTTCTATCGCTTGCTTCCGAGTAGGGGGAAAGGAAATCCTGTAAAGAAGAGGACAAAGGAATATAACACACATCAAGTGCCTTTGGTACCTTCTCTTAATTTAACATCTCCTACACTCTTCCTTTTTCTATGTTCCTATTTTTTAGGAAATGAAATGTCAGATAATAGTAACGCATCATCAACTTTTAATCATGATCAAGTATCGTTAATAATGCAGCATGATCCTAGATACACTGGTTCTCTTGAATAGCCAACTTAAATACAGAGGTTCCTCACCGGAAAGGGAGCTTGTCTCTCTCTATAATCCTGCTATTTATTTCTCCGGTTCAGAATTCCCAATGACAATTTTGTCCTAATCACTAAAATGTTTGGTTGCAAGTTTCTTTGGGTTTACCTGGTAAACTAAAGGGACTAACAAATTCAATCAATCGTAATAATGGACTACAGGAACCCCTGAATTTCACTAGCAATCTTCCCTTAAATCCCAAAGACATGAGAATAAAGATAGTGACTTCCGGCGGAAACTGCAGCCATGATAAGAAGTGCGAGATAAACCCTCCGAGGGGTCTCGAGCAGCGTGGGGGCTATTTGAGAGGTTTCGCAAAGGCTACGCGGACCTCGGAACCTCGGGAAGAGATCCTGAGGGGCGCTGGTACCCAGCGGTGCTATCTTGCTCCCTGGGTCTCAATAATAGACTCAGGGACGGGATTGAGCTGCGGGCACGAAGGGGGAGCAATTTTAAACCCACACTGTAAAGCCTCAGACTTCTTATGAAAGCAGTTAGCTTCCAAAACCAACAACGAATTCGGACCTACAGCTGACGGAGCTAACCCGAGCACTGCTTTAAAACTTGAAATCTATTAGAATTTGGCGAGTTGCGAGATGCAGAAAGGGAGTCAGTCCCGGACAACTGGGAGAAAATGGCGCACGACGGAAGGTTGGAGGAAGGAGGAGTGAAAACAAGTTTCCGCTGAGTGAGTGTTACTTTTTAAGCCCTCAAACACGAATTACAAAGTGTTGAGGCAAAGCTACTTTTGAAATGACTACTGGGGAAAAAGTACTGTAGGTGTCTTTTGATCGGCTTGGGACAGGTCTCTGTCGGACGGAGGCAAATCACTAAATAATTCACCGCACTCCTCCATTTTAAGTGAAGAGGGTCTCAGCTATACTGGACTTACAAAAAGATTTGGACCGCAGACTCAAAGAGAAAGCAAGGAGAAACCCTGACGGTAGGCTTCTACACTGACTTTTAACAGTTTCTTGAGGGGGCCAAGACCAATATTAAAGGAACAAAGAAAACAAGGGGGTTTAATCTCCCCCCTCCCTCCCCCCCCGTCATCGGGAGGAAGAAGAAGCCGGAAATTACGCTTCGGGAACTTGGGAGCCTTACACAACCTGCGCGTGGTTTGAAACAACCTTATGGACTGATAGAAGAGAAGAAAACACACGAGGGATAACAAATAAACTATTACCTTTTGCCCTTTGGAATATTTGTCTGAAGACTCTCGGACTTCCCTGCTGCCTCCTGTGTGTTGGAGGACGTGGGGAGAGGAGGGATAGAAGTGACGGACGTGCTGGGAGTGAAGATACAGCGTGTGGATTAGGGACTGCCACTGTGTGGGGAGCTAAAAAATTACATTCTAAAAGCAAAGAAGGCGGGAAAGTGCTCCCCCTGGTGGCTGGCTGAAACATCGTGTGGACTGACTTTGTATGATATATATATAAGATCTAAATTTTTGTATAATATATATTTAAGATGTCCGGGAAAAATGGGGAAAAGGGATTAGGGACCCCAGCAGAGAGACGCCCATCTAGGCAAGAAAATGGAAAAGAAAACAAGGAATATGAGAGCTTACTGGGGGAAATAAGAAAAGAGTTTAAACAGAATGAGCAATATATAGAGAGAAAATTATTGGAGGTCCAGGAAGCCTTAGACAAAAAATTGGAAATGGTGGTGGGAGAGTTGACAGGGAAGGTAAAAGACTTGGAAATAAGAACTAAGGTGCTAGAGGATTCAAACAAACGCAATCAGAAAGATCTAAAGGAAGTAAAAAGACAGACAAGACAAATTAGAGGAGAAATTACAGAAATGAATAGGGCACAGGAGGAGATGTTGGATAATCTATCTACTCTGGAGATGCGTCAAAAAGAGCGAAATTTGAAATACAGGGGTCTCCCGGAGACGCCAAATGAGAATATAAGAGATAAAATAATAAGAAAACTGGCTGGGTGGATGGAACTAAGAGAAGAAGATATTGGCCCATTGATAATGAATGTCTTTAGAATAAAGGTTAGATCAGTGAAGGCAAGGGCAAAAAAGCTTCCTGGAGACGTTCTAGTCATGTTTAACTCATTGGACATAAGAAATGAAATACTGAGACTGAATTACAACAAAAATCTATGCATAGATGGAGTGAAAATCTTGATTTTTAGGGAGATCCCTGCCAGGTTTCTGAAACGAAGGGGAATTTATAAAGAAATGGTGAGTCTACTGAAAAGGAATGGAATTCAGCATAGATGGGAATTCCCAGAAGGAACCTCCTTTTACTTTAAAGATAAAAGATTCAAACTAACTAGCCCCCAAGAGTTAGAAAAATTCTCCAGAAGATATGACAAAGAGTTAGGGAGGACAGGGAAAATAAAACCAAGACAGGATCAGAAAGAGGAAGGAAAGGAAAAGGAGAAAGAAGAACAACGTCAGGAAGAAGAGGAGGAACATGAAGAAGAGAGAGAGGAATCAGAAGAAGAAGACAACAAAGAACAGTAAATTTAGCGCAACTGAGTGGGTACTCTTAGATAAAAGAAATAATGAATCTGAAAGTATTTTCCTGGAATGTTAATGGGATGAACAATTTAAATAAGAGATGAAAAGTTAACCATGTTTTGATTAAACGAAACCTAGATATCATATGCCTGCAAGAAACGCATGTAGCAAAAAAGCATAAAAGAATTTTAAGTAATAAAAAACTGGGCCAAGAGTTTATCGCGTCAGATTCAAACAAAAAGAGAGGTGTGGTAATATATGTAAAAGAGAAGCATGACCCAAAATTAATTTTTAAGGAGGATGAGGGAAGAATACTGATTGTACAAATTGGGTTTCAAGGGGGAAAATGGCTGATTGTGGGGATCTATGCTCCAAACGATAAGAAAGCTGAATTCTATACAAAGTTGAATGAAATAATGTTAGAGTATTTAGATCAGAAATTGATATTACTGGAAGACTTTAATGGAGTAGTGGTACCGGACTTAGATAGATTAACAAAGAGGCGAAATACATATGAAGGCAAACTCCCGAAGGCCTTCTTTGATATGGCCAATACATTGGGAGAAATTGACATCTGGAGATTAAGGAACCCAACAGTAAGACAATTTTCATTCCACTCTGAACCAAACCAAAGCTTCAGCAGAATAGATCAGATCTGGGTCTCTAAGATTCTTACACCAAGAGTAACTAGAATTGAAATCCTCCCAAGAACCCTGTCAGATCATAATCTACTATATATGGAATTAAAAGGAAAGGACCCTTCTACACATAGATGGAGAATGAATGAGAGCTTATTTAATGACCAGAGAGTAGTGGAAACTGCAAAAGAGACAATAACAGACTATTTTAAATGGAATCTAAACAAAGAAACACCAATTGAAACAGTCTGGGACGCGAGCAAAGCGGTGATAAGGGGTTTCCTGATTCAAAAAAACAGCTTCCAGAAAAGAGGGAGAGAGAAGAAGAAAGAGGAGATCCTGTCCCAGCTCATCGAGAACGAAAAACAGCTAATAACAAAACCTAAAGATGAAATAATAAAACGAAATATAAAAATGTTGCAGTCTCAGTTCTCCATGGTGCCATGCTAATCTTCTCTGTATCGTTCCAATTTTAGTATATGTGCTGCTGAAGCGAGCACCTCAGTTCTCCATGGTGGTGGGACAGGAGATCGAATGGAAAATAAAAACCATGAGACAAAAAAATTTTGAGTCGGCCAACAAAGTTGGGAGATTCTTGGCCTGGCAAATAAAAGCAAGACAAAAACAGAACACAATTTGTAAAATAAAAGATGGGGATAAAATGATTGAGGACCCAAAAGAAATTAGAAAAGTATTTCAGAGATTCTATAGAGATCTTTATAAGAAAGATAAAGAAGACAATAAGAGAATAGAAAAGTATATCCATGACCATAAACTACATCAAATCTCAGAAGAAGAAAAAAGAATGCTTAACCAGGAGATAACAGAACAAGAGGTCACGAAGGCAATAAAAAGAATGAAAATAGGGAAGGCCCCAGGACCGGACGGTATCTCAGCAAAGTATTATAAAACACTATCGCAATACCTGACACCTGTTCTAAGTGAAGTAATGAATAAAGTCTTAAGAGAAGGAAAGATGCCAAACTCCTGGAAAGAAGCTCATATTATACTGATCCCGAAGAAAGAGGGGGATATATTAGATGTAAAAAATTTCAGACCAATTTCGTTATTGAATAACGACTATAAGCTATTTGCGGATATACTAGCGAATAGACTAAAAATGGTGTTAAATAAGGTGATACACAAGGACCAAACAGGCTTTCTGCCAGGGAGGCAACTAAGGGACAATGTAAGAAACCTGATAAATATAATTGAATATCTTGAAGTCAGAAATGAGAAACAGGCAGTATTATTGTTCATAGATGTGGAAAAAGCGTTCGATAATGTTTCCTGGCATTTCATGAAAGAAAACTTAAAAGTACTAGGAATTGGTGAAATTTTTTTGAGAGGTATTGGCACGATTTATTCAGACCAAAAAGCAAAGTTAATAATTAATAACAACATATCAGATAACTTTGAGAAAACTAAAGGTACTAGGCAGGGATGCCCTTTGTCTCCCTTGCTATTTATTACAGTCCTAGAGGTGTTGAACAAGAAGCTAAGAGAATCATCAGAAGTCAGAGGCATTAAGGTGGGACGAAAAGAATTTAAGTTAAGAGCCTTCGCAGATGATCTAGTCTTAACGTTGGAAGAACCAAGACAAAGTGTGAAAGAGGCAATAAAAAGAAAAGAATGGAAGAGTTTGGGAAGGTATCAGGGTTTAAACTTAACAAAAACAAGACGAAAATGCTAGTAAAAAAATTGAAGAAAGAAGAGATGGAAGAATTACAAGTAGACTCAGGAATCGCGATAGCTAAAAAAATAAAATATTTAGGAATTTGGATGACAACAAAAAATATAAACCTGTACAAGGACAACTATGAGGTGGTATGGAAAGAAATTAAGAAAGATATGGATATATGGAGTAGACTAAAATTGTCATTATTAGGCAGAATCTCTGATAAAAATGAATATATTACCTAGACTGTTATTTTTATTTCAAGCAATACCAGTGGTAAAAGGGATAAGACAATTTAAGGATTGGCAAAAAAACTTAGCGAAGTTTGTCTGGCAGGGGAAAAGGCCAAGGATAAAAATGAAGATACTAGTAGATAAGAAAGAGAGAGGAGGTTTTGATTTACCAGACCTGACTTTATATTATGAAGCTTCGTGCTTGGTATGGTTAAAAGACTGGCTGACCTTAGAAAACACTGACCTATTAGATTTAGAGGGCCATGATAATAGATATGGTTGGCATTCGTACCTATGGTACAACAAAGTAAAGGTACATAAAGGTTTTCTAAACCATGTGATTAGGAAATCTTTATATGAAGTATGGGATCGGAATAAAAACCTCCTGGAAAGAAAGACACCGTGGTGGATATCACCAATTGAGGTGCTGACAACAAAAAAAGCAAACATGGAAGGGGAAAGAGTAACATATGAGGATATTATTAGGAAAACAGCCCAAGGGATAAAGCTCAAACCATACAACCAAATTGAAAGGATGTTAACAGGGTGGCTGCAATACCATCAGATCAGTGATTTATTAAAGGAAGACAAAAAGAGAAATGGGTTCGAAGATAAAAAATCGAAATTCCAAATCGAGTTAATAGACTGTAAAGATAAAATTTTATCAAGAATGTACAGCTTATTGCTAGAATGGTATACAAAAGATGAAGAAGTAAAGGAATCAATGATAAAATGGGCAATTGATATTGGGCATAACATTGAATTAGATGCGTGAAAAAGATTATGGAAGGAGGGTTTGAGATTCACAGGATGCATGGCTTTAAAGGAAAACTTGCTAAAAATGATGTATAGATGGCATTTGACGCCAGTAAAATTAGCTAAAATGTATAGGAAAAAGAAAGAAAGTGTTGGAAATGTAAAAAGGCAGATGGGGACTATTTCCATATGTGGTGGACCTGCGATAAGGTAAAAAAATTTTGGAAGCAATTTATAATGAACTCAAAAAGATATTTAGATATACTTTCCCCAAAAGACCGGAAGCGTGTCTATTAGGCTTAATAGGAACAGAAATTAAAATAGAAGATCAAAATTTGTTCATGTATGCTACAGCTGCCGCGAGGACCCTTCTGGCCCAAAGATGGAAAGTACAAGATATACCAACTATACAGGAGTGGCAGGCGAAGTTGACAGAATATGCAGAACTTGCCAAACTGTCAGGGAGGATCCGGTACCAGGGAGATCAAAGATACCAAAATAACTGGAGTAAATTTATTGAATATTTAAAGAAGAATTGTAAAGAGGTCAAGACACTAGCAGGATTGATATAATACCTCCAATGTATAATAGTACTAATTTGAGAATGATGTGTGTGATGGAAAGAGGATAAATATACCAGTTGTGGGGAGGGAGGGGGGTCGTGACTTGGCAGAGTCAAAGGGAATGTATGGTGCTATTACAATTTGTTGGAAAAGAATATGTAAGGAAAACAATAAAAATTCACTTGGAAAAAAAAGAGAGAATAAAGATAGTGGTTAATACTGGGAATCTGGAGGAATGGAGAGGAGGAGTGGGACGTAGTTATCTCTGCGTAAAGGTAAGAAAAGAAAAGAAAAAGGTATCTCTGCCTACAACCTTCATAGCAATGGGCAGGGAAGGGTGGACTGGAGGCAATGTCTCTCCACAGAAACATGGGTAAATGGGTGAAATTGCAGAAGACAAGCCAAAAGTGGGTCATCTTCTCGATCAAGCAGGGCTTTTTATATGTTTTAACGTAGTGAGTCTGACCAAACTGCAGGAGGCAGTGGAAGACAGGAGTGCCTGGCGTGCTCTGAGTCGGACACGACTAAAAGACTAAACAACAACAACAACGAACGTAGTGAAATGTCTCACTGCATACTCAAAGGGCTTACCTCTCAATTTCCCCTTCACATTTCTGTGTTTTTCTTTTTCTGGCAAGATGTGTTTAGACTTGTGAATCAGAGTCTCTCCTGTGTGGAACAAGTAAAAGAGAAGTGCTGTTTATGTCATATGTGACTGTCAAAGTCTTCAGGAACATTTATCTTTTGAAGCACCCCAGACTGGGAAGGTGCATGCATTTACTGTCTTTGGGTGCTGATGGATTGTGTCTCAGCTTGTGAATCCCTCTGACATTGCCTAAACAAGAAAAAAGTTATAGAAAGGCTGTCCATTTGTAAATTACAGTGGTACCTCATGTTAGGAACTGAATTCTTTCTGGAGGTCTGTTCTTAACCTGAAACTGTTCTTAACCTGTGGACTCTTGGCACCCTTCCCAGGAAAAGGGGAATAAGAGTGGTTCAGCATGTCCAAAGATGTTGCAACTGAATGAGATAAAAGTCAGTTCTCAGGCCTGCTCTGACAGAGCCTATTCATTAGCCTTTTGAAGCCTTCTGGTGCTGATAAAAGAATAACATTTTGCTTATTGCCTTGTGAGAATCCACAGAAAAGCTGTAGCTGTGGATTTTTAGAAGACAAAAGGAATTTTGGACAGTTTTGAGGCCTGGGGTGATTACTGAGGGGTGTGTGACTTCGGACCTAGGTGGGGTCACCTGTCCTCACCTTCCTTCAGTACCACTTTAGCTAATGGGGCCTCCCACTGCCACCACACGATTTCTGTTCTCATCCTGAAGCAAAGTTCTTAACCCGAGGTGCTATTTCTGGGTTAGCAGAGTCTGTAACCTGAAGCGTCTGTAACCCAAGGTACCACTGTATATACAAATCCTGAAAGAATTTCCATAGCACCTCCAGTCATTTTTTTTAAATAGTGCACTACATTATCACTGTCAATTAACCATGCAGTGGAATTGACACTTAAAACTGAAATCCAGGGAGAGGCAAACGAGTTTCTGTCCTTTCGTGGAAGAGGATTCCAGATGCAAAGACCCCCTCTGGACAGCCCTCTCTCCTTCCTCTCAGGAACTTCCAGCCCTCTCCTCTCCAGCTGCAGCAACGGCCTGGCTTGGTGTAACCCAGCAGCAGAGTCCCGCTTCTGGAGCCCCCAGCAGCAGCTGGCCTGGGGGTGGGGGAAGGAGAGTCCAGCTTCCGGGAAGGAGGGGAGGGTGGGGAATTGGACCCCCTCCCAATTTCAGGGATCCCTCTCCCCAAGACAGGTTTCTGGGCAGGAGGGGAAAGCCAAGGCAGCCCCTCCGGAGATTCCCCCGCCAGCGCCCAGGTGGGAGACCTCCCTTCCGATGGGCAGCGTCTCTTTCTCCCTCTGCCCCCCTTTGCCAATGCTGGACGGGGCTTTCCTCCCCCAGGGATGCTTCCCTCCTTCCTCCCCGTGTTCCTCTGCCCCCTCCGTCCCCAGTCTCTCCTGCGCCCAGAGACCCCCTTGGCACGGCTCACCCCTCGCCCTGCGCGCAGAATCTCCCTCGAGCGCACCGACCTCTCCATCCGGAGGAGCCTCCCAAGACAGGCGGGGGGGGGGGAGGTAAAAGACGGCAGTGGGTGAGGGAGGGGTCTCTTCCCAGGCCTCTCTAGGCATCGCGGCTCTCTCGCTTCCGTAACCCCTTCCATGCACTCTCCTTCTGTCCAGCAAGAGGCGCGCCTCGCCACACGCGCGCAGCCAGCAGCTCCCCAAGGGGTTCCTGCCGGGGGAAACGGGGGACGCGCCCCGAGAGTCCTGTTTGGGGACGGGGGCTCTCATAGGGACGCCCTTGGTGGACTTCTCATTTCCATTCCCACAAAGGTGCCCAAAGGGCAGCTAAGCATCGCTTGGCTGGCGAGATTGGAGGGATGGTAGTAGTAGTAATAATAATAATAATAATTAATAATAATAACAACAATAGTAATAATTTTATTGTTTGTAGGCCGCCCACCTCACTTGGTTTCCCCAGCCACTCTGAGCGCCGCCCAACAAAAAATAGTAAAAACACATTACAACATCAAAACTAGAAACTTCCCTGAACAGGGCTTACCTTCAAAAAGTTGTGTCATTTTTTATCTCCTTGACATCAACAAAATTGCCTGTGATGTGCACTGTGGCGTAGCGTGGGTTGTCAGCACCCGGGGCAAGGCAAGTAATTTGCGCCCCCTAACCCGTGGATTTTAGCACTCGAGTGCGAGCGCGCCCCCCCCCCCGATGTTGCGCCCGGTGCGGACGGCCCCCCTGCACCCCCCCACGCTACGCCACTGGGGCTGGGGGCGAGCGAAGGAGCCAAGGACCCCCCCAAAGGCTCAGCAGGAATTTATTAAATTTATTATTTGTGGAGCCCCCGCGGGCCGAGGCAGCCGAAGCCCCCTCCCCTCGGGCGCCTCCCCGCCCCCTCCTCTCCTTGGGCTGTAGGTGGAGCCCGCGCTCCGAGGCGCTCCAGATCCGGGCTTGGCGAGCGCCTCTCCTCCTCCCGGCCGGGTCCGGGGGCTTCCAGCCGCGCTCCGTCCTCGCCCGCCCCCCCCCCCCGCGGCTGAGACTTGCGCTGAGAGCCGGAGCCAGCGGCGCCCCCTTCCGCCGGGAGACCCTCGCCCACCCGCCGGCTTCCTCTTGGAGGGTTTTGGGGAGCGCAGGGCGTGGCGAGGCCCCTCGGAGCTCTCCTCCCTCCCAGTCGGCAGAAGCAGCCGCCGCCTGTGGCTGGGCCAAGGGGATGGTGGCGGTGTTGGCGCATCACCAAAGTCCATTTTGGGGGTCTAATCAACAACTTCAGTCCTAAAAAAAGGTCAACAACTTTGGTCGGCCATTCCACATGTTCACTTCATCAAATCTGGCCCTCTTTGAAAGACGTTTGGGCACTCCTGTCCGAGGCACGTTGGCCCAACCCCTTTGTACACAGAGCAAGATCTTCTTTCCTCCTGGGACCAAAACTCATATCCGACCGTTGAACAAGGTGGCCAGGGAAGCTCCCTACCCCAATTGCTGGATCTGTGCACATGCACCAAGTCACCAAAAGCAAGGCCTGCCTCTGGTAGCAGTGGCTGTGACCTGGGGCCAATACTACAAGGGGAGACATCGCTTCCTGGAACCTGACAGCCCTGAACCTCACCCATCAATACCTGTATTTGAAGGGACCCACTAAAGGACCCCTTTGCCACCTCTTCACAGGGGAGGGAACCCCTGTTGGGAAAAGCACCTGTGACATCAACCTTGACTTAACCTGTTTCCCCGAAAGTAAGACATCCCCTGAAAATAAGACCTACTTCCAGTTTTGCCTCTCGCTGTAATATAAGGCCCTCCCCAAATATAAGGCCTCCCTGATAATAAGGCCACCCCAGAATATAAGGCCCCCGAAGCTACCATAAGGTGTCTCCTCTGGACCGTAGCGGCAGGCGCCGCTGCGCAACTCACTGATTGGCCGCAGCACAGCCAGAGCTGTTCAGACAGTGTGAAGTCTCTTTAAATCAGAGAGCCCACGCCGACACCAGGACAAGCTGCCGCCTGCTGCTTGTTCTGCCCTGACAGAGTCTGGCTGACTCACAATTAGACAGTGAGTGAGTCGTGCGGGGCAGGAGTCATCCACATTGTACCGTATACAGGTAATAAATTTCCTTTTTTTTTGTTCAACAATAAATGTGTACCGTATTCTTCTTCATGGAAAAATAAGACATCCCCTGAAAATAAGACCTATTGCATCTTTGGGAGCTAAAATTAATATAAGACACTGTCTTATTTTCGGGGAAACAGACTGAGCACAGGGCAAGTGACTGTCGCTGACTTCACTCAGTCTAGGACTTACCCAGACCTTACCCGTGGACCACCGTGCCAACTGGCAGCCAGATTACCCCAAAGCCACGCTCCTCCAAGCCTTTGCTTCTGAGCACTGAGCATATACCTGGACTAGCCCCCACATGTCTGGGTCTTGCTTTGAGGGATATATTATCCCTTGATTATGGAAGGGTGACAGAGGAATAAAAGAGATCAAAAGACCCTGTCGGACCTGTCTGATGTGGCTGCAAATGGAGAAACTGTGGGAAGGGCGCTGTTTCCCGCCTGTGGAGCAAGGTCTAACCATGTGGACATTCTCAAACTCACTGATGTCCTACGTAACGGACCAATCCTTGAACATTATGGGACATTTAAATGCCATAGAGAGACCAGAGACTACAAGAGACTAGGGCCCTGCAGGACTTGGCATCTTTCCGCAGGGCCTGCAAGACAGAGCTGTTCCACCTGGCCTTTGGTTTGGACTCAGTCTGACCCCTATGTTTCCCCTCCCCTTACAGTTTTGATCCATGGGCTGCTTTTAAAATGAGGCTGCTATATTCAAATGAGCCCTATATTCTAAACACAATGCTTGATTAACCTGGAGGTAGGCTGTATGAATTGTGTATTGATTTGTAATGATTTGTTGGGTCTCTGGACCATAATAAAGATTGATTGATTGAATATGTACTGTAAGCCGCCCAGAGTGGCTGGAGAAATAAATAAATTACCGTAAATTTCGCTCCATAACACGCAGATTTTTCCTCCTAGAAAGTAAGGGGAAATGTCTGTGCGTGTTATGGAGCGAATGCCTACAGATGGCGGGGGAATATCCTGCAGTCGTGAGCAGCCCGTGGCTCGCTTTGAAACAGCAAAGCGGGTGTAAGCGGCTCCTGTAAGCTAGCAGAGCCGGGGAGGAGGGAGAGAAGCAGAGCGGGAGTTGGCTGCTTTAAAACAACCCCTGCTCTCTGTCCCTGCCTGCAGTTTTTTGCTGTCCGATTTTGGATTAGCCACTGTAGGGGCTGTGTGTGTGTGTGTGTGTGTGTGTGTGTGTGTGCTTGAGCTATCGTTCTCCTCCTCCTGCTTCCCCTTCACTCTCCCTGCGCCCCTGCGACTTCAGAATCCACACTCTGTGTCTCTCTCTGTGTGTAAGGGCTCCTTCTCCCCTTGCTTCCTGTTCACTCTCCCTGCGACTTTAGAATTGACACTGTGTGTCTGTGTGTGTGTAAGGGCTCCTTCTCCCCTTGCTTCCCGTTCACTCTCCCTGCGACTTTAGAATCCACACTCTGTGTGTGTGTGTGTGTGTGTGTGTAAGGGCTCCTTCTCCCCTTGCTTCCCGTTCACTCTCCCTGCGACTTTAGAATTGACACTCTGTGTGTCTCTCTGTGTGTGAGGGCTCCTTCTCCTCTTGCTTCCCGTTCACTCTCCCTGCGACTTTAGAATCCACACTCTGTGTCTCTCTCTGTGTGTGAGGGCTCCTTCTCCTCTTGCTTCCCGTTCACTCTCCCTGCGCCCCTGCGCTCTCTCAGCGCCCCTGCGACTTTAGAATTGACACTCTGTGTGTCTGTGTGTGTGTGAGGGATCGTTCTCATTTTCTTGCTTACCATTCACTCCCCCAGCGCCCTGCGACTTTAAGGCCAGTTCTCTCTCTCTCTCTGTGTGTGTGTTTTGACCTCACTGCGCTTGTTGGGGGAGAGTGTTGGTCGCAATTTTTCTTGATTTGTCTCAGAGTGGTTACTATCATGGTTTCCTTGCTGGGGAGGAAGGAGAGACGCAGAGCCTGCTTGTTCTAAAGGAGCAAAGCCGGAGAGGAGCCTCTCCTGCATTATTAGCAGCATCCTTCTCCACACCCCCCACGCGTGCTCCTTGTCCCTTGAGTGCTTTTCCTTCCCTCCCCACTTAAAACGTGGTTACAAAGCACGGATCCACATGGATCCTCAGGATTTTTGCACTGGGTCACCCCAAATTCACCATCAGATCACATAGCATGTCCATGGCTACAGCCTGCACAAAAAACACACACGCACCCACTGTTTCATGGGGCCGCAGTGGTGCAAAAACGTGGTTACAAAGCATGGACCCACATGGATCCTCAGGATTTTTGCATTGGGCTACCCCAAACTCACCGTCAGATCACATGTCTGTGGACACAGCATGAACCACAAAAATCATACATCCACTGTTTTGTTTAGAATATTTTTTTCTTGTTTTCCTCCTCTAAAAACTACGTGCGTGTTATGGTCAGGTGCGTGTTACAGAGCGAAAAATACGGTATTATTATTATACGTAGTAGTGGTATTAGTTGTATTATCAGAATCCCATACGATTTTTAAAGATATCCCTATGTACCCAGTTTAATATCATTTTCTTCTAATTTAGCTTCTTAAGCAGCTTATGAAATCCTGCTATGGGTAATGAGCAGTTTTACTCCAGTTGAGATTGTGGCTGGGACTTCTACCTGTACAATTTTATGATACCCCTAGAACTAAGGATCAAATGTCATATTTAGTTTTTTGTTGTCAGGTGCTCCTTTGTGTTCAAATCAGGCCTCAATATAATAATGTAGCATTTGGGAATGAAGATGCAGCCCAGGAGCCCAGCACTGGAGGCCAAGATAGAGAAGATCTGAACGGCTACCATGAATTTTCCCTTTGTGCTCAGGTAGGTGGGCACAAAGGACACCCAAACACTGCAGAAGATCAGCATGCTGAAGGTGATCAGCTTGGCCTCATTGAAGGCCCCAGGCAGATTCCTTGCTAAGAAAGCCACCGTGAAGCAGATGGCAGCCAGGAAGCCCATGTAGCCGAGGGAACTGTAAAACATGGCAACAGACCCTTCATTGCATTGGACAATGATCTCTCCAAGCTGGGAGCTCAGGTCAAAGTCTGGGAATGGAGGAGAGATCCCCAGCCAGATGGTGCAGATGAGAACTTGGACACTGGAGCAGGAAATGACAATGGAGTGGGCCAAACTCTTTCCCAGCCATCTCCTCACCTTGTTCCCTGGCTTGGTGGCCAGGAAGGCCAGGACTACAGTGATGGTTTTTGCCAAGACAGAAGAGACAGCAGCTGAGAAGATGAGGCTGAAGGCTGTTTGTCGGAGAAGACAGGTCACTTTCCTTGGCCTCCCAATGAACAGGAAGGAGGACAAAAAGGAGAGCAGTAGAGAGATGAGGAGGATGTAGGAGAGGTCTCTGTTGTTGGCCTTGACTATTGGAGTTTCCTTGTATTTAATGAAGATTCCTAACACAAAGCCGGTGGTTAAGGATAAGGAGAGAGCAAGTGAAGCCAGGAGGCTCCCCAAATATTCTTCATAGGACAGGAAGGTAAATATTTTGGGGACACATTGATCTCGGTCCTCATTTGGATGCTGATCTTCTGGACATCTGGTGCATTCATTAGCATCTGCATAGAGAAAAACACACTTCGGTATCCTAACATCAGTCACACACCTCAAATTTGCTGACAGCACTATTGCATTTGGTGATTGACAGGTTGGCAGTAGCACCCAACTGCTATTATTCACCGCGAAAAATTAACGTCTAGTGCAAAGACCAGGAAAAAATAATGAACCCCTGGATTAGACAACTGTGGGTTAAATGGATCAATAGATTGACTCAGTATAATGGCAGCTTCTTGTTATGTTTGAATACAGTGGTACCTCTGGTTAAGTACTTAATTTGTTCCGGAGGTTCGTTCTTAACCTGAAACTGTTCTTAACCTGAAGCACCACTTTAGCTAATGTGGCCTCCTGCTGCCTCTGCGCTCCTGGAGCATGATTTCTGTTCTTATCCTGAAGCAAAGTTCTTAACCTGAAGCACTATTTCTGGGTTAGCGGAGTCTGTAACCTGAAGTGTATGTAACCAGAAGTGTATGTAACCTGATTGTAACCACTGTATTGAGAAGCAGATGTGTTAAACCCCAACTTTATTTATAATAAATGGAAGCTAGAATAATAATTTCCAAAATAAAGTATTACATTAGTGTTCCATGATTCCTCCGAGGAAGTTGGAGTAGTATTATTGTGTGGCACTATCTCCTTTCCTGATCTGCTGGGACCTCTCAGAAATTGTCTCTCTGGCCCTAGTGCTGACTGACTCCATGGCAGGACAAGAACCCTCCTGAAGCCACAAGTTTGGTGAAGCCAATACACCCTGCCACTCTTGCTCACTTTCACCTCACTCATCAAGAAAGTCCCCAGGACCTGATTCATTGACACGTGCTCCCTGCAACATTGGAGGTGGCCTTTGAATGCCTTTGAATACTAGTTGCTGCAGATCACATGGGGGTGGAAGGGCTGTTCTTTCTATGCAGCAAGTCCTTTCTTATATCCTTAAGTTTTCTTAGGGGTGGGGAAACTATGGAGAGACGTAGTCTGAATAGAGACATTGGATTCATGTCTCATTACACATGCGAAAGCTATTTTTTGGTCATCTGCATACTATCCATTGCTTTGTTCCTTTATGACTAATTGCAGTCGTTATCAGTCTTCAGCATATTTACCATACCCATTGAGCTAATCACCCATCCGCTAGTACCCTTCTGAGAAATACCCCACCCTCCCACTATATATAGTGGTACCTCAGGTTACATACGCTTCAGGTTACAGACTCTGCTAACCCAGAAATAAGAACTTTGCTTCAGGATGAGAACAAAAATTGTGCTCTGGCAGCGTGGCGGCAGGAGGAGGCCCCATTAGCTAAAGTGGTGCTTCAGGTTAAGAACAGTTTCAGGTTAAGTACGGACCTCCAGAACGAATTAAGTACTTAACCTGAGGTACCACTGTATAAGGGTCTGGTGACTTCTGTTTCAGAGTAGCGCAGACATAGAACAAACTTAGTTGGTCTCTAAGGTGCTACTAGACTATCTTCCCTTTCCCCTTTCCCCTTTCCCCTTTCCCCTTTCCCCTTTCCCCTTTCCCCTTTCCCCTTTCCTTTCCTTTCCTTTCCATTTCCAGTGCTATTTTCTAGAAAAAGAGGTGCCTGTCAGGTCATGCTCTGAATCAGAGGATTGGGGATTGCATTCTCAGGCAGATCAGCTCCTTTCTGAAGAGGGAGAGACACAGACACTGAGCAGATTAGACCAGAGTTACCTAGCTACGAGATAATGGAAAGAGAACAGAAGGGAGGGAACAGCGAGCAAGGATGTCATAGGAGAGTGTGGGGGACCCCCCTCCCCACAAACTAGGAAGTCCATACGTATTAGAGAACAAAGGATGCAGAGAGCAGGAGAAACTTCTTGTTGGCACCAGGATGTTGTGTGAGGTAGAAGGGGGAGGATTTAGAGTAGCCAACTGCTCTCCTTGTGGAGGGATGCGGATCTTTGCTTGCAACCAGATGACGGAATAAAAAGAGTATAAATTATAAACGGTTCATTAATTCTTATCTGTGCAGTTACCAAAGGGAGGCGAGGACTGTCCACACCTGACAGTGTTTGAACTCACCATGAATGTCTCCATTGTTCTCTGAGAATGCCAATGGTCTCCACCTGACAGATGATGGAACTAGCCATTACTAACATCATGTTTGCAGTGGCTCAAATATTTTCCCCATCTTCCCATCAAAGGCCATTTTCTCTGAGTTCCTCTCCTACCTTCCTGAGTGGAGATGGTCCCTTCTGAGCAGGGAGAACAATCATAGCAGCAGGGCGGCTTCCCTTCCTGAACTTTTCTGGAATATCCAGGGAGACAGCTTTCTGTGCATCTTGATCGAGGCACGGTCTAGGCATGAAGAGAAAATTGAGCATTAAGGAGAAAGTGATAGGTGCATTTATGCCTTGGGACAGAGATAATACAATTTTGGAAGGATCCTGGAGAGGAGATGTTTGCTTCCAATAACCTCAGGTGACCGCAGACCATATTTTTTTGTGTTTTTTTGCAGAGCTGCATAGCAGAGAAACCTTTTGGGTCTACTTCTCCCCCCGCCCTTAACATTGAAATCTCACATTTCTAAGTTACAATAGTATTACAAATTGCAATAGTAGATTAACAGTTAAGAAGAAACAGGAGCATGGCATAAACCCTCATATGAACATCAGCAATAAAACAAGTCCTCCATCTGTTGCCATCACATCTGCCAATGATACTCCAGCCTTACCCAACCTGGTGCCCCTCAGATATCTTTGCATGATGCTGTCTGGGGTGCATGGGAGTTGTAGTCCACAATATTTAGAGGGCACCAAGGAGAAGAAGCTACAGTTAGAACTGGGTATGGAAAAACTGATTTGTTCAAAATTGGGAAAGGAGTACGACAAGGCTGTATATTGTCTCCCTGCTTATTTAACTTATATGCAGAATTCATCATGTGAAAGGCTGGGCTGGATGAATCCCAAACTGGAATTAAGATTGCCGGAAGAAAGATCAACAACCTCAGATATGCAGATGATACAACCTTGATGGCAGAAAGTGAGGAGGAATGAAAGAACCTTTTAATGAGGGTGAAAGAGGAGAGCGCAAAATATGGTTTGAAGCTCAACATCAAAAAAACGAAGACCATGGCCACGGGGCCCATCACCTCCTGGCTAATAGAAGGGGAAGAAATGGAGGCAGTGAGAGATTTTACTTTCTTGGGCTCCATGATCACTGCAGATGGTGACAGCAGTCACAAAATTAAAAGACGCCTGCTTCTTGGGAGAAAAGCAATGACAAACATGGACAGCATCTTAAAAAGCAGAGACATCATCTTGCCAACAAAGGTCCGTATAGTTAAAGCTATGGTTTTCCCAATAGTGATGTATGGAAGTGAGAGCTGGACCATAAAGAAGGCTGATGGCCAAAGAATTGATGCTTTTGAATTATGGTGCTGAAGGAGACTCTTGAGAGTCCCATGGACTGCAAGAAGATCCAACCTCTCCATTCTTAAGGAAATCATCCCTGAGTGCTCACTGGAAGGAGAGATTGTGAAACTGAGGCTCCAATACTATGGCCACCTCATGAGAAGAGAAGACTCCCTGGAAAAGACCCTGATGTTGGGAAAGACTGAAGGCACAAGGAGAAGGGGACGACAGAGGACGAGATGGTTGGACAGTGTTCTTGAAACTACAAGCATGAGTTTGACCAAACTGCGGGAGGCAGTGGAAGACAATAGTGCCTGGCGCGCTGTGGTCCATGGGGTCATGAAGAGTTGGACAGGACTAAACGACTAAACAACAACAACAACAAAGCCAGGAAAATGTGCTCTGCTCTGCTTTGGAGATTCTCCTATTTATTTGAAATTTTATACATATTTACTCAAGAGCAGGTTCCACTAAACTCAGTGGGACATAGCTCAAAGGAAGCATCCACAAGATTGCAGTCAGAGCCTCATATGTACTATTCAAAATGTTATTAGAGCATAGCAGATGTCATAGATAATAAAATGGCAGATCCAATTTTTCCTACTTTCTTAAATCGCTTGGGCCACACAATTGCTTCTGGGTTAATGGTGAACTTCAGATTTGAGGACTTTAGTCTCTCTATTCTCCCAATTTTCACTCTATCATGAGAGTTATTAGGAAACAGCACCCAATTCACAATATCGAAGTCAACGGCCAGTGCCCCATTCTCATCCAAGTACTGCCCATCAGCTGAAGTATTAGAGTAGAACTGGACTTCTTTCAAGAAACGATGAAGCTAGAATGACAGAGGAAAATCCAGCAATGAGTAAGCAGGGCTGAATTATGTAACATGGTTTCATGTTCCCTCTGCATCCTAATCTTCTCTGTATCTCTCGCCTGGATTCATCTGATCATGCTAGATTATTACCTGCCATGGCTGTAGCTTTTGAAGTTCCAAGTTGCTTCCACCCAAAATCAACAACCTCTTTGACCTGGATGAATATGCGGCATTTAAAGCTTGAGCCACAGTTTGGATACTCAGGTAATTCACATAGCTGTCTTGGGACTGGATTCTTTCAATCTCTTCCTGGGGCAGCATCTTCACATTATCCTTCTCTCTGCATTTGGTCATACCCCTCACAGACAAGGCATGCTTTGAATAGAACAATCAAATGCTTCTTCTGAATACCGTTGACTAGCCAAGGACATTGGCCCATAGTAGTCCTTCTTCATCCTTTTTTTGGTTTTCATTACAAAGGACAAAGAGCCATGGGCATACCGGAAGCAGTCAATATCATGTAACAACATTTTGTTATGAAAAACTGTGGTTATCCAGACTTTCCCCCCAGTTTGTATCCTTTCAAGTAAGGACTCAACCTCTAGGATTATGTAAAGTCCACTTTGAGAGTCTGCAAAGTAAACAAATACATTGACTTGTCTCCACAGGGCAGGTGCTTCATGGGGTAACCACAGCCAGGTTTGTAGTAGTACTCTTTTCGTGAAGGCAACACAGATTTCCCTTTTGATCATCAGGGATGTCAAGATACTCAGGAACCTTTCTCCATTGTCATTGTCTGGAGCAAAGAGGCCGACCCACGTCCACCTGAAATGCAGGAGGAGTTGGACCATCCCCTGGTACTGCGTTTCTTGGTTTGGTGTCATGCGGTAGACAAAAGGGGACTGGAATTTATCAGTAAGAGCAAAGCCATAACTGAGCTGGTAAAAGAAGAGAAAGAGAATGATGGCTTGTTTTTCAGAAAAACGATCCAGATGGTAAAACTCTATAATAAACTTCAATTAAAATGCCTGCTGCAGGAGAAGAAAAGTTTTCAGTAGGCCATGGAAAGACAATAGGATGGTCAAATGGTCCCAAGATTTTGGATATAATATCCCTATGGAAGAATGGGATAGATTGTGGAAGGAAGATCTGAGGTTTACTGTGTGCTATATATTGAAAGAAATTTTTATGTTACATATGTGGTGGAAGTGGACAGAAGTAAAGGAATTTTGGGAGAGAATGCATAACGAATTTAAAAAGATATTTAAGATATCCTTTAGAAAAGAACATTATTCCTACTAGGGATAATGGGCACCGACATCCCCAAAAATGTGAGGAAAATATTTTTATATGCCACAGTTGCAGCAAGGATGCTAATAGCCAGAAATTGGAAGGGAGACTCAATCCTGACCAAACTGAAGTGGCAAGCAAAATTGCTGGAGAGTTGGCACGAATGAATTCATTGGCAGATGTGCAGTGACTGCTGCAAAAATGAGGAAAATCATAGGAAAACAAAATAATAGAGATTGATTTGGACTGATAAAGAAATGTGTGACATGTTATAAAAGCATTTAGGATCCAGGATGGGCTTATGGGAAGTCATAATAGAAGTTATTTATAATGAAAGAAGCTAATCATGCTGGAATACGTATTATTCTATTTCTGAATGTATGCTTTCTTTTGGAATTCAATAAAGCATTTGAAGAAAGAATGAAAGAATGAATGAAAGAAAGAAAGACAACAGGAAAGGGGCCTGTCTGTCCTCAACTGCAAGGGAGTTCCATAACCCTGGATACCCTCCAACATCTGGGATAAGAAAAGGCTAAGGAGTAAACCCCGTACAAATCCTAAGTCAGCTGAGTGCTGCTTTGTTTCCCTCCTTCCAGCAACTCCTGCAGCCAAGCATACGCCAAATGCATTGCTCTGCTTTCCTTTGGAGCACAGCAGTGAGGCTGAGAGAGGGGTCTTGTCGTCTTGGCAACCCAGGATTTCTGTACCTACTGCCCAGGCTTGCGCACTGTGGAGGTCACTTAGATACTGCTAACAGAGTGGTTTGACTTCATCCCAGAGGCTCACTCCATTGTCTTTCAAGACAGACAGATGCCAACAACAACAACCACCACCACCACAACCACCACCATGTGGCTAATGTTGCCAGGTGTGTTTCACTTGGGCCAACTGATTACCTGTGGGATCTTGTAGATGCCCAATATGCTTGCAAGGTGTGTGGAGATGTCAAATTCACTCTTTTCAAGAACAGCTAGCAGCCTTTTCTGTTTCCCACAGTGGTAGTTTGGAATATTGATTTTCCCACCAGCAAGCAGGTCTGTCATGGAGTCAGATGTCAGTCTTCCCTCAGAACAGGTATCATAGATGCTGTAGCCAAGGGTGATGTTGGGTAAGAGACTGGGGTTGTGATTAATATCCCGAACAGCAAGGGAGAAGGAAATAACGTGCGAGTTCTTCCTATCCACCCAGCTGTGAAAAAGTTACATTCTTTTTTGTATTAATCAAAGCAACTATGAAAAGAGGTCAAAGTAGAGCAAAGAGAGACAGAGATCTACCAGTACCTGTGTCTGCAGTATTTTTGCAAGGGAGGAGTATGGAGGAAAGACCAGAACACAAGTCAGCCTCATTTCTGGTGACTTACCAAAAGTCCCTTGAGCCAAATTGACCCCCAGGCTGCATTGCAAATGACTAAGCACAGTTGACATTTACAATTTGCAGCTGCATAGATTTTGTTGTGCATGGGGGAAAGAAATGTGTTCACATTTTATTTACTACAGAAAACTCGCAACTCAAACACATCCCAAAGCACTTCCAACCCTTTAGAAAACAAGTTATGCTTTGGAGAGCAGTACATGTCAAAAATACCAATAATTACTTAAAACACATTATAAGCTATGTTGCAACATGGTTTTTCACTAATAATAATAATAATAATAATAATAATAATAATAATAATAATTTATGTATACCTCACCCTTCTGGTTAGGTTTCCCTAGCCAGCATCTGCACAGAAACATAAAACTTGTTAACTAAATGAAATAACTGAACTGAACTGAAATGAACTGAAATGAAATTTTTTAAGGATATCAGAAAACAAGTGTATCACGGAAAATGGAAAAATGGAAAATCAATGCAGCATTGCTTACGAGTCAAGTCTGCTGACAGGGGTGCTGAAAAAGGTGAAAGGAGGTTGATCGTTAAAGAATCCTGAAAATGTGACTCCACTAATGAGGTGGTCTGCTAGCCAGTAAAAATTTGCAGCCAATATTTCCTCCTTGATTTGATTCAGTGGGCATTTTGTCCTCTGCTGCACCCCTTTGGTTGCAAGAGGCAGCAACAGGAGGAGTGTTATCATTCTGGGTCTACCTGCAACGCTTTCCTTATAGCTGTTCCACCAAACATTAGCTGCTGGTCTTAATAAGGATAAGGATAAGGATACTACTACTACTACTACTACTATAGTATTTATACCCTGCCTATCTGGCTGGGTTTCCCCAGCCGCTCTGGGCAGCTTCCAACAAAATAATAAAATATAATAGTCTGTTAAACATTAAAAGCTTCCCTAAACAGGGCTGCCTTCAGATGTCTTCTAAAAGTCTGGTAGTTGTTTTTCTCTTTGACATCTGGTGGGAGGGCGTTCCACAGGGTGGGTGCCCTCTGCCTGGTTCCCTGTAACTTGGCTTCTTGCAGTGAGGGAACCGCCAGAAGGCCCTCCGTGCTGGACCTCAGTGTCTGGGCAAACGGTGGGGGTGAAGATGCTCCTTGAGGTAAACTGGACCGAGGGCGTCTTTCCTGGAAAGCCAGTCAGTCAAAATTTCTGATCTAGAAGGCAGCATCACACAGATGTAGCTTCCCATTTCACCTGCTCTATGTCTTGGCCCAAGGATTTGTGTCACTATATATATATATAATACATCCAACCTTTCAGGCACCGTTGAATAAAAAACTTCCTGCTGCCCTTAATTGCGATATTTACCTTATTGGTCCCAAAGGCAATATTCAACAGGTGAGGTGGGGGCTACTTGGACTCAGGAAAGAATAAAAATGGGTCACTGTGATTGTGATTATTGTTAAGGGAATAAAGTTGTCCCCTGCTACTTGATGGGAGCAGGTGCAGGGCAGGAGAAAACATGTTTACTCAACAGGCCGCCTACGGATCATGAAGGGTAAAGGTGACTTTGGCAAAACATGATTGACATCAGAAGAGCCTTGATGTTGGATTAGGCCAAAGGCCCACAATGTCCAGCATCCTGTTCTCACAATGGCCAACCAGTTGACACAAAGGGAAGCCCACAAGCTGGAGATGCCATTTTCCTACCTCCAAAGGAGGAGCGATAACATAGTGGTTAAGAGTGGTGGACTCATAATCTGGTGAACCGGGTTTGCTTCCCTGCTCCTCCACATGCAGCTGCTGGGTGACCTTGGGCTAGTCACACTTCTCTGAAGTCTCTCAGCCCCACTCACCTCACAGAGTGTTTGTTGTGGGGGAGGAAGGGAAAGGAGAATGTTAGCCGCTTTGAGACTCCTTAGGGAGACTCTCAAATCCAAACTCTCCTCTTCTTCTCTGCCCTGGTTCCCTGTAACTTCACTTGTTGCAGTGAGGGAACTAGCAAAAGGCCCTCAAAGGGGGACCTCAGTGTCCAGGCAGAATGTCTGAGTGTAGATGTTCCTTCAGGTCATACATGGCAGAGGCCAATTAGGTCAGCACCAACACTTTGAATTGTGCTCAGCAATGTACTAAGAGCCTTTGAAGATCCTTTAGGACCGATGCTATATGGTCTTGGCGGCCACTCCCAATCAACTAGTCTAGCTGCCGCATTGTGGATTAGTTGTAGTTTCCGAGTCACCTTCTGTTGGTTTCTGCTTTCCTTCACTGTGCAGCGAAAGGGCTTGTCATGAGACAGGTGTTTACATTCCACAGTCTGTACTGTTGGAGTTTCTCACGGGAAAGGGAGACTGGATGTGACGTACACTGGTTTCCTGTTTTTCACTGTGTGATTCTCTCCAAGCTGTCGAGGAAGAGAGGATGCTTTTCCTGCTCCGGCAGAGGCAAGATGTCTTTCTGTAATATACCAGCTTTGAACTGTAAATAAAGCAATATAGAGTATGTAGTACGTACTCCTCATCCTTCCGCTGGGCACGGGACTCTGCTTTACACCAACACGTGGTTATGGGCTCCAGAAGTCGAATCGGAGTGCCGGCAAAGGATCGGAATGCAGAGGGACAGATCGGATCGGAATCTGCTCTGCACGTAAACATGATTGATGAGGTATGTGCTACTGCTCCGGGCAGCCTGCCAGCTTACAGTTAATGGCTTTTATGGCTGGACTTTGAACGTTTAAAGCCGTTTTGCCGGGAATACGCAAAAGGCTCCCAGGCTACGTTACTATGCTGGGGAAATCGAAAGTAACTTTTAAGTGCGCTTTTGGAACAAAGCAGCTGCAGCAGTGACGCAGCAAGATTTAAAGCAGCATATATGACGCTGAAGGCTAATGCCAGAGTCATGATGGCCCTTCAGGATGCTTGTGGGATTCCTAAGCTCAACAAGAAAACTATGCGGACTGGGTTCTGTATGCAGAGGCAAGTTCTGCGGAAGAGGGTTTGTTTGCAGTGATTACAGACACCCCCCCCAGCTCCAATTACAGATGAATGGAAAAGCTAAGGATTCCAAAGCGAGGGGAACACTTACATTTGATAGTATCCCCAGAAGAGCTCTGTCTATTGCGTGATAAGACCTCAGCCAGAGAAATCTGGGACGCTTTGAGAGAGGCTCACTTAAGGACAGAAGCTGGATCCACTATGTTTTACTTTAACAAGCTGCATAATATGGCTCTTGCTGAAGGTGGAGATGTGCGTTTACATCTGATGGAGATGCAAATCTGAGACATGAGCTGCAACAGAGAGGACTCAACTTTCCAGAGGCTGTGTA